GGCTTGTGGGGGTGTATATATATATATATATATATATGTATATATGTATATATATATATTATGTGGAAAAGATAAAGATTTAAGAAAACAGTGAAATGGCTTCCCATTTCAGTGCCCCAGGAAGGCAGTATCAGGCCTCTAAGGGTGCCTCTGGATTTTTAGCTTTTTGGCAGAGAGGCCTGCCGGGTTTGGTTGTAGCAGGTCTGATGCCACGGAGCAGGGCTACCTGTGTGTAAGGGACATACCTGTAGGAAATGCAGTTACAGGGGGTGTGCAGCAGCACCCAGGGCACAAGGTGATAGTCCGAGAGGTTCTGGATCAGGGATAGAGGCCAGGAAGCCAGGTGGGGTGGGGAGATTAGAACCGGGGATATGAGCCTGTCCTGAGTTGAAATCTAGCGTGTTTGAGAAAATTAGTGAGAAACCCATGAGGAAACCCATGAACCTTTCCTCCACTTTCCTGTGGCCGCTGTGAATGCGATAACCATCTGCAAGAGTAACCTGCTCTTAACTGGCATGTTCTGATGCCACCCCCGGTGTGTTCGCAGCCGCCGCCTGTGCTCAGGCAGATGTCGGCTCACGTTACAGCCAAAGGGATGTGTCAGATTCTCCTGGAAGTGCACTCGCTGGATTCTCTGGGAACACCTTCTCCTCTAAGAGACTGCGAACACATCGGAGAGGTGCTGCCTGTAGGCCTGTGTGGTCTGCTGGTGGTTAATCCAGCGTTCTGTGCAAGGGGCACTGTGCACAGGGGCTCGCTGGTGGCAGCGATCGGAGGCTACCACCCTGGGCAGGGAGGGCCCATGCATTCACATTTTATTGCCCCCAGACACTGCTTAGCAAGATAACCGAAAAACTTCTCCTAAGACAGATCAACCTGTCGCTTTCTGTCCTTAGCTGTTGTGTTTGAGGAGATAAATGGATATATTCTTCTTACTAGCAGTGCTGCATGTCAGTGCGGGTTACAGATACTGGCAGAACAGCCCAAATTGGGGTATTGGTGATAACTGCTGAGAATATAGGAACCCTTTAATTCCTGAGGCCTGGGAGCATATCATAGTCCAGGAAGGGCCCATATTGGAACATACATCTGAAATATTTTGTTTCTTCCAGATTGTTGTTTTGTTATATGGGACATGCTGGTCTGGCAACTGAAGATGACCTGGAGGGTGAAGTATTGAGGAACATAAGATGATTGTATCTTGTTAACTAGTCATAAATGCCTTATTTCATTAACTTGCTTAATAAAACCCCATAATTACTAACTAGCCAGATATATCTTGGACAGATATTAAATGTTATAGCTTGCACTACAAGTATGGATTATGATTAATTCAGATTTTCATGTTTGGTGGGTATCTTCCTCTGGGTAGGATCTTTTAATCCATATAATTCAGTGTGAATAGTGAAAAGAACCTTTTAGAGCTATTTCAATGCTGTTTTTGTATAATCATAGAAATGTTGGTTGAGAGAGAGATGTGGGAGATCTCTAGTTCAGACTATCATTTGAGGCAGGGCTACCACCAGCACTCAGTCAGCCATAGCTTTGTTTAGCTGAGTCTTAAAAAACTCCGAGGATCCTGCTACCTCTCTTTGTAATTTATCTAGAGTTGAACCAGACTTCTTGTGAGAAGGATCCAATGAAGTCTGAGAATGTGTTCTCCTGTAAATAAAAAATAGTCAAGTTATCTTCAGGGTTTTATTTCCAGTATTTTGTTCCATTGATGTTGTGGGAATTGGTAGCAGCAGGAGAAATTCCCATTTGTCTTACCTGGACTCCCAGCTATGATGTTTCCTTAGCAGCCATGCTCATGCACCATGAGGAAGGACTGTTTTTTGCTTGATGAAGGTCCATCTCAGCATGGAAGAGATCTGTATTATTGTGATTCCTCTTCCATGTTGGTTTGAGATGCCAGTATCTTTTTCCATTAGTCTGTCTTCTAGTGTTATGTCTAGGCAGGACAGTCCAAAACAATCCCTCTCTCTTCTATTCCCTTATTAAAAAAATGTTATCTGTTGCTGTCACTGTGGCTGGCATAGGGATATGAAGTGCTAGAACATAAATCCATATTGTCTTCATAAGCATGACAAGAAAGGTATTTTGTTTGGCTTGGAATGCTGTTAAGATTATCTTGGATAGGTTTATGAGGCCTGTGCTTTCTTTCTGTTCTTGTCTACAAAAGTAGAGAAGTGGGCTGCATCCTTCAAGCCTTTCTCCTCAGTTCCCACTTCATTCCCATCCCACTCTAGATCCCACAGTGATCTTGGTCCACTAGCCTAGCTGGTCCCTGCGGTAAGAGATGATGATTATACCGGGCAGGAAGTACTTAGCAGTCCTGCATCTCCCCATGCATCCAAAGTAGACTTAGAGGACACTTGAATGAGAAAGCCCTTTACCTGCTATCCCTTTTTGGTATCAAACCTGAATTATCAAGTTCAGTGTTCAGTAAACATGGAATCCTGTGTTGGCAATGTGTGCACAGCCTCCATTCTTTGTTTCTTTCTCCACTCAGCTGTCACATCTATAGCTCTTGCGATGGATGAATGAAGAATGACTGGTCATGCTCTGTTTCAGCAAGACAAGACTCTTGCTCCTTGACTCTGCAGCCATGCTTCTGTTCATACATGCAATTTGTATTTCACAGTTAAGGAGTGGTTTTAGATTCCTTGCTGATTTTGCGCTTTCACATAAAAACATCTGCTAATAACATTTTTGTAATCTCCATTTGGCAAGGTAACCCTATCCCATCCTGGCAGACAGTCACCAGAACTCAGTTATTCATGTCTTCCTCACCTCCTGGCTGAGCTATAGAAATGTGATATATTTGGGCACAAAGCCTTTAGCTCTTAGGATATTCCAAGTACACTAAAACTCTGCAGTGTATCCCATCAACAACACATGCTGGTGTGAACACTTAAAAACCTTTCTCATGTTCACCGTTCAAGTTTCATACAGGATTGAGGCTTTCACCTTTTTTTTTGGAGAACTTTGTGGCTTGAACCTAGATCATTTAAAATATTTCCAGTATTTCTGGGATGGAAATCACAATTAATGCAATTAAGCTTTCTACAAAAAACAGGACAATTCAGCTGGACAGAAGGACCAAACATTTTCAGGGGGTTACTTGAGATTCAGGGGTGAGCTCCTGCAGGAACCACAGATTATCACAAGTCTCCACCATCTTCTACATCCAGAGCAAAGCACCTTCTTTTGCTTTTGTCTCCTCTAATGTGAATGCACAGCAACAGTAAACATAAAACAGGACACTTGTCCTGTGAGAAAGAGAACAAGCACCACCTGGCAGATGTTAGATGTGTCATCTGGAAGGCGCTCATATACTACAATGAAGTGAAATACAAGCATTTAACATGGAAGAAGTAGAATAGACTTAGGGTGTAAATGCTTGAATTCATGTTGCCGCAGACACCTGTCCACGGGAAACTCATCTGAGGCTGCCAAATTCAGGTCATGCAGATCACAAAACAGCTGTAAAATATAGTGAGTCTAGTTAAGAAATAAGTAGTTCTATCAGCAGTATTACTTCAGCGTAGATTCTCTGCTGTTACAAAGGTATGCTCTTATGCTTCAGGTTTTACCTCATGATAGTGACAATGTCTCTGCTCGTCCACTCAGCTTTATATTTACATGAAACCTGCTGGAACTTAGGTGTCCTTGAGACCTCTGCCTCTGTCAGATTTGACTGAAAGTGCTCAAAGTGGTTCTAAATCTCTCAGAGGAGAGAGAGATACTGATAACATGAACCTTGTTTTCACTAGAAACTAAGCTAAGTCTCTATGTAAACAAATGACAAAGTTCTGTAAAGCCAGCTTTATTAAAATAGGAAAATAGTATAGAAAAATAAAGGGTCCTTCCTGTGAACACAAGATTGAGCTAACATTTCACTGGGAAGACAACTGCCAGTAGGAGTTGAAACCTCATGATACCATACCTACTGAACACATCTATCAACAGCAAAAAAGACACACTAACAGGTAAACACATATAGATAAACTGCACTTTTCATAGTTTCAGAAAAAAACACTTGCAGGAGTTATCTATGCAACATGTTTTTTTATGTTTTTAAATAACCTGTTAATTTTTAGAGAAAATTTAACAGTTCTTTCTGAAAATGTTTTAAACTATAAAAAACAGTCCAAGTCTTTTCCTACTATGGAAAACACAGTGTTAGTTCCAAATAGGTATAAATAAAACAGAACAAAACCCTAAACTGCTTAAGAATACTATTAAAATAACCATTAAAAACTTACCTATATGAAAAAATATTTCCTTTAAAGGTTGTTCTAGCCAGAAGTAAATTCTTAAAACAGTGCTTGCAATATATACATACAGATTTTTTCAGACACAACTATTTGTATATTAGAGGCTGGCTTTAATGTTGCCATCCAGTTATGTGGATTTTTGATATTTCTGAGCAATGCCATGGGGAATATGTGCAGCTATGGTGCCTAATTTCTGTGCTCCTTCGATGTGAAACATCTGGTCATCAAAGAAAATATGAGGACGAATTTTCCCCAAGATTGGTCCTTTAGGAGCTCCTGCTAGGAAAAGTGCCTCATCAATCTCCAGACCCCAGCTACGAAGAGTCTTCAGTACTCGGGCTCCAGAACTTGCTGCACTTCTGGCTGTGACCAGGAAGGTCCTTATAGGACAATTTAATCGTTCATTTTTTGCATAAAACTTCTTCTGGAGTTTCCCTAGGTCTTCGAGAAAACCTTTCAAAGGACCCTGCATATGAAATACCAGAAACATATTAAATATTTGTCTGTGGGTTACAAAATCATCCATTCATTTTCTTCCAGATTGCCTCTTGTAAACAGAATTTCTTCCCTAATGCTATGCTGTGCAATGGTCTACATATGTAGTGTTTCTAAAAGGGTTTGCATCCAGACTAAGAATTCACAAATTGAAAGAAAAAAAACCAAAAAGGTAAAGCTCTTATCCTACGTTGTAGGTTCTGTAGGAAATTGATGCTAAGGCTTACAAGAACAAAAAAAAAGAGGGGAAATAAATAGGGCAATGAAATGATATTTCAACTTACAAATGAAACTTCTGCAAAGAAGAAGGAATAAGCAAAGGGAAACTGGAGAATGGCAGTCACATCTCAGCAGTGAATATGAAAGTATGTTTTGATAACTCACTGATTCAGGAAGTACAAACCTGTGCAAGAGGCTTATTCTCGTTCAGCTGTTCATGTTCAAAAAATCTGTCTAATCCTTGCTCTTTGACAATCTGTTCTGATTCATCAGAAAAGAGAACTGCATCCCCATCAAATGCCACTCTGAGCTCGGTATCCGAGTAGGAAATATCTTTGTTTGAGGTGAACATTGTAGCTGATGCAATGCCTGAAATTATATGAGAGAGTTTCACTTACTTTGTCCAGCAGAGTCATTCTGAAAACTGTCATTAGTTCAGTTTCAACAACTTATTTGTGGTGAGCTTTACACAGAGTGGACCCCAAATATCCCTAAAGCAGATCTGCAATGGTTATCATGTCTGCAATCTATCCATTGACGTAGCTTTTTCTAAGACATTCTTCAGAAAAGAAACAGAACCTAATTCCATCAGATTAAGAAAAAGTATCAGTGCTAAATCTGTGCCATGCAGAGTTGGACTCTGCATTTAATGAAGCAGCACTACTTCCTGGGAAGGACACAGTTATACAAGCTCAGCTAAGGGATAACAAAGTCGATTCAAACCTGCTTCTATAGCTTCTTGGACCTTTTCAGAGTCTGCAGACAGATATAAGTTGGTAAGATAAGCAGTCAGGTAACCAACAGGGCTTTTACCTCCCGTCATGCAGAAACGTTCAATTGTTAAACCTAAAATAAGAATGGCACAAACTGTGACTCCACATTGACACTACGAGCCTATAAAATAACTTGTGAAAAAAGAATAGAAAACTTCAAGTAATAATAAACAAGAAAAAAATGATTCACTGTAATGTGAACAAGTTAACTTAAACTGACTATAGCGTTTGATAATTACTTCTTCCCTAAATATTCCACGCACAAAAAAACATCCTCTTGAGTAACTGCTTAGAAGGAATAGGTATGGGGAGTGTAAATACCAAACAAGAAAAGCTTAAAGACTTTTTTAAAATCAGAAATTAAGATTCACATTTGACAGGCTACCTCTGTATCTTTGGACCAAACCCCGTTTAACACAATTTCGCTTGTTCTGATACACAGAATTAGATACCACCCCGCAAGAAATGGATGTCTATCAAAGAAGTTGCTTCAACCAAGGTCAGAACAAGAGAAATAAAACTACTTCATTTTATTATACAGCAGCTGGCTACAAAGTAGCATTTATTTTACTTGCCGTAGTGTTTGATGCTGTTTATGAGCCTCACTCCCACTTGGGCATGGTTGTTGGTCATGAGGACGATATCGAAGCGTTCCTCCTCGTTGGGGTACAGCTCGCAGAGGCGGGTGTTGACGTGCTCCAGCGCCTGCAGGTGACAACATGCTGGATCATGGGCACGCAGCCTGGGCTTTCCTCCCCAGCGTGTGGCCCCAGTGACACAGGTGTCGTGCGGGACAAGCAAAATGGTTTCATTCCTTTGAGTTCTGCTTCTGGGAACTATTTGACTGGGCTCTTTTGAAGGGAAGCAAATAAGTTTATTTTGCTGAAAGTTAGGGAATTTATTTTTATGACAGAAATCCTTTCAGAAATCCATGCAAACTCATCTGGAATAAATCAATGCATTGTTGAACATTATCAGAATCCCTATTAGCCACATTTTTTTGGCTTACAGTGGTGGAATTAAATTTGTTCTGATAGCCCTTTGATTGATTTGTTTTGGATGCAAAACATTTTTTCAAGGAACAGAAAGGTTTATTTTTCAGAAGTGTACAAGACATCATATTTAAGACACCTTTTTTTTTATTATTTTATTTTGTCCTCAGGAGTCAAAACGAAAAGATACTTCATTCTACTTTCCAGGTAGCAAGTCTCACCCAGCAAACTTAATTCTCATCTGGTACCTCCAGTGACTAAGTAATTTATGAATCTCATAAAAAAATATATAAAATAAAGAATCGAAGTGGAAATAGCATAAGCTATTCCATATATATAGAGAGAGGCTATTATAGAGAGAGGCTATTATATAGAGAGACTATTCTATATGAAGGCAGCAGAGGCCAACGTGCCCAGCTGCAGCTTTGATTTTCGAAGTGTGAAGAGTCTTGACTGTCTAGTCAAGTCTTCAATATATTCAAAGCGTATTTGACATTAAGTTGTAATGAAACCCTTGAAAACTAACCATGCTAGGAGAAAACTGCAGTAAATTCCCTAGGGGCAGGACCTCCCTGGTGAGCTGAAGGACGTCTTTTACACCCATGGTTTCATCACAGAAATACCTTTACAGTGCAGATACTGGAATGAGTCTTTTCTGTTATGTATGTATTTTATGTTATGTATGTCCAGAAGCTCATCAGCAATGCTGATTTTTTTCCCTTTTTTTTTAATTTCTTGAGGCTGAGATTTAAGCAATGACAATCTGCTTTTAAAACCTGCAGGAAGTGTCCTGCCATGAGCTCAGCTGTTAGCAAGTGTCCCTGCTACGTGTGGTATAATAAATTCCCTAAAACTGCACTGGTGGACCCTACCAAGGAATTCGCCATGGGGAATGAACTCTGTGGATGACACTTTTCTATTTGAGTCTTTTTTTCAATGGGGTCCCACTAAATCCTGTGCTCTTCAAAACCATACGTCTTTTTTAGCTTTTTTTTTTTTTTTCTTATTTTTGGTAGTTAACCTTGATTTCCAAGCTGGGGGGCTGTTTGTGTTGCTCCTCTTGTACAATGAAACCCAAATACTCCATCTCCCCCTGCTTGAACCCTGATCTCCAGCGAGGGGCCCGCTTCCTTTCATGTTTCTCAAGCGCGATACCCACAGTAACAAGGCAAGCGAGGAGAATCAAACCATCCAACCGAAACGAAAAACAAAACAAAACAAGTTGGAAGAAAAAAAAAAAAAAAAGGAAAGGAAAGGAGTTAAGATGCGGAGCGAACGCGTCGCGCTCCCGCCGCTTCCCTGCGTCCAGCCCCCGCCTGAGGGGAGCGCAGCCGCGAGCTCCTCCTCCCGCTGCGCTCCCGAGGAAGGGCCCGTGGGCCTCGGGGCGGCCCCCGTTACCTTGACGAAGCAGAAAGCCGGGCCGGGCTTGAGGGTGACGTTCTCGTTCTGCTGCTGGTACTGCACGTACTTCTCCACGCCTTGCTCCTCGTAGATGCGCCGCTCCTCCACCAGGTCGAAGAGGGCTCGGGAGGACACGGCCACCGTGATGGCGTGTTGCGGCTTGGGCTATGGGGCGAGGGCATGAGCGGGGTCGCAAAGCCGCTCGCCGGACCCAACGCCGCCCCCCGGACCCGGTCCCGAACCCAGTCGCGGTCCCGCCACTCACCGGTCGGGGCCTCTTGGAAAGCAGCGAGTCGTATAAGGCCTTGGAGTCCCCCCAG